CCTCCTCCAACAAAGTAAGGCCTCCCAAGGGGAGTCAGCAGAGCCTGATACATTCAGTTGAGGCAGGTCCAGGCCCCTCCCCCTGCACCAAGGCTGTGCAAGGTATCCCACCATAGGAAGTGGGCTCCAAAAAGCCAAAAGCTGTCTTTTCTGAAGCAAGAAAGAGCTCATGCATTCAGCTGCCTACATTAGTTGGCCTTATTTGCATTTCCTTTTCTTATTTGATTGCCTCCTTTTCCTTAATTTCAGAAATTTGTTGAAATCTATCATGTCTGATAGTCCTTTGTAGATTTGACTTGGTCCTATCTTGTTGGTGTTTCTCCCTCCATGTGTAATTGGCCATTGACCCTGGAAATGGATCTGCAGGACTAATTAAGGGCAAAGCCTCTGACACAGCCCCGTAGACACAAGTTTATATCCTTGGAATATATTTTCAGGTCCTCTGTGCAAATAGGGAAATGGGAGGGTTGAGCTGGAACAGGGACAGAGTGAGAGGGCAGGGAGGAAGAGACCATGATAGATGAGGACATCATGGGAATAGGAAAAGGCAGGGTGCTGGGGAGGCTCTCAGGAATCCACAAGGTTGACCCCACCTTGGTCTACTGCCAGTGGTCCAGAGGGTGCCTGGACCGGTCTACTCTGGTGACCAGCCTAACAAATAACCTAACTGTCATCATAGAGCCTTTGTCCACTGACTGATGGAGGCAGATACAGAGATCCACAGCCAGGCACCAGGCTGAGCTCCGGGAATTCAATTGATGAGAGAGAGGAGAGATACTGCAGGTGAGGGACGTCGAGATCATGATGGGAGGATGTGCAGAGATGACAGGCCACACTAGTGGAAGCCCATGAACTGTGGACTGGTGGCTGTGGAGCCCCCATGGGACTGGACTAGTCCCTCTGGATATGGAAGACTCGAACTGTTGGCTTGAACTGTTTGGGGGGCACCCAGGCAGGGGGATCAGGATCTGTCCTTGGTCTATGGGCAGGCTTCTGGAATCCAGTGCCTGTGGTGTGACACCTTGCACAGCCTTGGTGCAGTGGGAAGGGGCTTGGACCTGCCTAGGCTCAGTGTGCTGGGCTCTGCTGACTCCCCATGGGAGACCTTGATTTGGGGGATGTGGGGATGCAGGGTGGCTTAGGAAAGAGGGCTGGGGGGGTGGGAGGAGGGAGGAGAGGGGATCTGTGGATAGTATGTGGAGTGAGTAGAAAATTTCTTAATAAAAAAATGAAAGAAAAAAAACACAAAAAATCAACTCCTCCGTGCTTCTTTCTACTTACCAGTAAAATGAGAATATTAACATTAATTACCTTAATGGGCCCTGAAAGAACTCATTCAGCTTCTAATGTACACACTTAGTGACTCATTACTCTTTCCCAGACTGAAATTCACCATCTGTCTTATCACCTACAACCTTGCTCAGCATATGAAATCCATTTTCTGTTTCTACTCACTTCTGTGATGAAGTGTCTTCTCCAATATTTAAATCGGGATCAAAATCCCACTCTGTTCATCTGGGTGGGGGAAAAATAGGTCATTTGATAATAAGAGCATAGAGAAAAATCACTTACTAATTACCCCCAACATTGCCTTGCCTTACCTTCCTGCATTGCCTTCCCCACATTTGCTTTAAACAGCACCAGAAACACAGTTGATCACTGAACACATTCATACAATACTACCTTAGATTCTACTGCACCTCCCTGTTTGGGAGACACGCCCATGAACAATATTAGTCATATTGGCAAGATCAAGGGATTCTTCAAAACTAACTAGAACTTTCTGCTGATAGAATTATAAAGAGTGATTTCTTATCCAGCTATGGACTCTGTGAATAACAATCCCAAACTGCCAGGCAACACGTGCCTGTTGCTACAACAGTGGTATGGCTGTTATCAGAGTAACCAA